TATGAAGTCAGTTATATGGCTTTCCTTCGGCCAAAACACGGCGGGGTAGCCTCGTGGTTAAAGCGTTAGCTCGTCACGTTGAAGGCGCGTGTTCGCATCCCCACATGTGCGAAGCCCATTTCTGGTGGCTCCAGCTATGATATTGCTGGAATATTGCTAAAGAGGCGCAAAACATACTAACTCTCTCACTTACTGACGATGTTACTTGAATATTTAAAAACACCAAAATACACCCCACTTACTATCACTTAGGTTCGCAACATGGCACGGTGGTTATTTCCGAAGTCTATATTTTAAAAGCGATTGTATTCTTACATACATTTTTTTATGAACATGAAAAAACACATAACAAAGCTATGATGTTATTTGTTCTATATATTATGCATACTTGTTAACATATCAAAGTTACATGTTGGCTTAGGAGTAGGAGGTAAACTAACCACTCTCTGTTTTATCATCACTTTCTGTCACTGAATATATGAGATGTGTTCCAGATGTGTCAGAAAAAAAAAGATTATATCTAAACAACTATAGAAAATGTATTAAGGTGAAAATAACATGTGATGACACCAGGTGTTCGCGAAATGTTCTGCCCTACAGTAGCACCCCTCACTCAAGTAATTTGCGTTCTGTTGCCTTACTCTAAACAACAGTATTGCTCCTAATGTTATGTAACAAAGTAACAGCATAATTGGACACTCATCGCAGACGGGGAGGGTATTGATAGACCAATGATCTGTCTTGAATGAATGACCATCAGAACCTAACAGCTACAACCACCACACTGATGATCGTATTTCGTGAAGTAACATCCAGAAGACATGTGGTGATAATTACACGCTGAAACTCGAATACCACGAAATGTGATTTTGGCCTTAAGAATAGCTAGATTCTAGTGTAAGAATATGACATATATTACGGACAAAATTGACATTTATAAATGAGTCTCCGTTTTCTGTTAATGTGTAAAGATGCACACTCTGGTCCTGACAGACACATATATCACACCCAAAAGGTTACACACCTTTAAATAAGTAACCTTTGACTCATTATCAGACAACCTACTGTCACCAGGAATCTATGTAATTATATACACATCCATTGTCCTCAAAGTATGCTTCTTGAGAGATCATAGCACAGATGCATGATTAGAAATTACAGCCATTACACAAAGTAGATATATAATTTTATTACTTGACCGTGAAGAGATCACCCGTTCAATAAACATACAACTTTATTACACATTATGTAATACCAAAACGCGTGCTTATGTACTCTCGGAACGGTTATCTCCCAAAACCCCTACATCCCATTTCCCCTACAACCCAGTTCCCCTACAATTAGTTAAAACAACACACGGCATTTACCTGTCTGGCATTATGAGATGGCGAGGGCGAAACATTAATGTAGATACACGAGAGTTGGGACACTGGCTGTGTAACACCAAGACATGCGGTTTGAAATCATTCACTGACATTAGAGATGATGTTTATTAAACACACAATTTTGCTTTCATATGAAGCATTATGCGAACTGGCGAGCCAATATGCAAGAATTACACGCATTCATACACGGAAGAAATTTATAATTGATATTGTATATTTGTCAATCAATCTGAACACATGTATATCAAAATAGAAAATAAACAAGTCCATGGAAAATGCTTTTTGCATGATAATGTTTTTGTGCTTTCACTTTGACATTATATATCATAACAGAGTAAAAAAGGTTTGGAATTCCTCTTGAAAGTACTAAAATAACAACTGGTGTTTACTGAACAGAGAGTTTTTATGATAAAACGTTGCCTATTATTTTCTTCTCTCATTTTCCAATGTAGTTCACTTCAAATAACTTTTCTTTTTCTAAACTGTTAAGAACAAATGTTAACATGATCACAAGGTAATGAGCCTGTTGAATGTTACTCTTTGAGATCTGTCAAATCCATCGCGGATTTGACGCTATCTACAGGTTCAGCCATTTCCAATTTCCTCCACTAGTTATTGGTAACATCTTTCATGCATGTGAGAGCTTTATATAATCCATACATATGATTCATATGGTATTGTTTGGTGTAGGGAACAGCCCCTTTGAATTTTATGATTTAACACACACACACACACATGTATGTACAGTTTGACATATTATAATTATATGAATATAAAAAAGCATCACCACTTCTCAAGTTCACTACAATTTCACCAGCGAGAAGTTGTCGCGGATAAACAAGGATTCTAACCAAGTCTGATCTTTGTTTACCATGGAATTCGTGAACTGGTTGAATGACTTCTTTCCATCAGAATTACACACAGAGAAAGAAAGGGCTAAAAATCCTGAAGATATCCTGTACAGATGGTATTCAGAATTCTCTACCAATTTCCTCTAATAATAAAATGTTCGATTTGACATCACTAAGCACCAATACTCAGCAGGATCATTTGGGCAATTGTAAAAATCACCTCTAATGTGAAACCCCCAGTGATTGTTAAGATAACAAATCCTATCTGTAGTCAAACAACATGACAGGCTATATTCATTTCCAACATCCTCCAGTAAATAGTGGGTAATGCCAGAATAACACCCTCTGAAAAGATACCTCTAGTCCCTCACCAAATCTCCTCTTATTAACTTTTACCATAAACAAACAAAAAGTGGGGTGTACAAGAAACATATTCTCCACCAAAAGTAATAACACATTAAGAAACCTGACAGAGACTTGTGACGTTCAGTCCGTAATCTGTAGGTTTGTTCATAGGGACAGGACGTCGATCTTTCGGAAGCATTGTTTTCACACAACAGCCGATAATCCCTAAACCTACTCTGCTCCATTCGCCTTATTAAAAAAATCCGTGTGTTGTTTCAGCTCTTGTGACCAACTGGCTTCAAATGACCGAAGCATTTATTTTGTAATTTAGGCTTACATACATAATGTAAAGGCTCCAGTGCTTTTAGGAGACATTTAAGAGAAGAATTATGTCAAGTTGATAAATGTCACCGGAAACATACAAAAACTTATCAGAAACAAAAGCAGGAAGAATTAATCAAGTCACTGAAGTCACTGAAATCCAAGCAATAGTAAGCTACTGACATTTTCCATGTTTATACATGTCAGCCTCAGGCTTTTCTCCGGGTTGAAAAGGGAGGACATCACGTTTATCACAAGAGAATGCATGGATCAAACGAATGATCACACGCTAACCTGGGATTCGATTCTTATCCCGGAAATTCAATTCTACGAGTGATATGTCGTCACCGTGACGACCGGGTCACCGTCACCTCTACCTAACATACACCCAAGCATGTGAGAGGTTAACTAGTGGTTGATACTGAACATAAAACCCAGCATGGGAGAGGTTAACCAGTGTTTGATACTGAACATACAAACCAACATGGGAGAGGTTAACCAGTGTTTGATACTGAACATACAAACCAACATGTGAGAGGTTAACCAGTGTTTGATACTGAACATACAACCCAACATGTGAGAGGTAAACCAGTGGTTGAAACTGAACATACAACCCAACATGTGAGAGGTAAACCAGTGTTTGATACTGAACATACAACCTAACATGTGGGAGGTAAACCAGTGGTTGATACTGAACATACAACCCAACATATGGGAGGTAAACCAGTGGTTGATACTGAACATACAACCCAACATGTGGGAGGTAAACTAGTGGTTGATACTGAACATATAATCCTACATGTGAGAGGTAAACTAGTGGTTGATACTGAACATATAATCCTACATGTGAGAGGTAAACTAGTGGTTGATACTGTACATACAACCCAGCATGGGAGAGGTAAACCAGTGGGTGATACTGAACATACATCCCAGCATGTGAGAGGGAAACCAGTGGTTGATACTGTACATACAACCAAGCATGGGAGAGGTAAACTAGTGGTTGATACTGAACATACAACCCAACATATGGGAAGCAAACCAGTGGTTGATACTTAGGATACACCCCAGCATATGAGGGATAAACCAGTGATTGATACTGAACATACAACCCAGCATGTTGACTGCAGTCAAGTGATGCGGGTCTCAGATGTGTACCACTTTGTTGAAACCCACGAGCAGAGGTAGAATGAATAAATATTTCAAACAACATTTTGGGAAATCATTTTAATCATGTGATAGAATATATATTTAGACTATAGTAGTGGTAGTGGTTTATTTCAGTAAATCAGGCCACAGGCCCATTTTACAATATATATATTCAAGCATTCAAACATGTAATTGTTTGAAATATTTAGACTATATGACACCAATAATACAAGTGTATGTGAGATAACGGTACATGTGATTGTGATACTCCCTCAACATCAAGTCCTATATCTCCCACAACATATAACTGCAAACGATGTTCAGTGTGCAAGAAGTCTTTTCAGCTGATATTTCATGTATGTCATATTTGTAGAAGTGTGTAACTACAATATTACTACACATAGACATTCGTCAAGCCAGTCACTTTTAACATAACATTCTGCATGAAACAAAATGCAAAATAATTATACATAACGTGAAAACTCATGTGTACTTCACCCAACAAAAAATTACTGTGATCATATCCTCATCCATCACATTTGGATGGCAAGAAGCATTCAACTTACACAATCGAGTCAAGTGTTCATTCGGGCAATAGGCTTCACTCAGATTTAAGAGATCAACATTCGATGTAGCTGTATTGATTTAATTCACACAATATATATCCCGGATGCAAAATTAAATTGAATCATTGAATAATAATGTAAACATTTTGACTCGTATTTTATTGAATCAGTATTGATGAATGTTGCAAAAACATGTTTTTGTCTCCTATGGAATCCTATAAGAGACAGTGTCGCTCGTACTAAACAAGCAAACGTGTCAAAATTATTGTTCAAAGCGCGACCATGTTAAATAATAATAATAAATGCGTACATAGGACACCCAATTTTGATCCCCCAATCGTATTTTATTCATAGTAAATCAAAACATATTGTATTCAACTTTGTTGTCACTATCTGCCTCTCAAAATTGTTGATCTCGTGCATTTTACGAACGCTTCAGTTATTTCATTCTTGTGTGGTAACATTGGATGTGTGTCGCCTTCAGATTGACTGTCGGTAACTGGAAAATACTATCTGTTTCATCTTAACTATTCATAATTCTCAATGACAGTTGTTTTTAACTGTGAGTAGAATACATGACCTCTACATGGATACACGAGGATATCTTATACCGTCAGCTCATACTGAAAGCCTTCCGTCACATATAAGTTATTTGTTTGTCACGTAGTTGTTTCTGAGTAGTAAATATCTACAAGTCTATATTTGTTCATTATCCCCATCACGGCCACCTCTCTGACGCCACGACATCACGACAGCGCCTTGACAATCACTGTCACCATCACGACAGCGCCTTGACAATCACTGTCACCATCACGACAGCGCCTTGCAATCATTGTCACCATCATGACAGTGCCTTGACAATCACTGTCACCGTCACGACAGCGCCTTGACAATCATTGCTTTCTTCTCCTCTGTCATGTTGATGTCGCTGCCCACTACAAGTGTCATGCTGACAGTGACATACTCTGGGTTATACACCCCGAACATCGGCCACAGTGGCTGACTAGAGTCTACATTGTCTAACGTCGACATCACTTTATTCTCCTTCACATCAATGAAGACAATCTTCTTCCTGGCGTCATCATAGACAACCCCGTAATGTAGTGTGTGTGATGCCCCTGCTGTGTTGGGGAGAGTGTCAGGCAGACAGAGCACATGCGTCCCCTCCTTCCGTGTCTCCCTGCATATCCCGTCGTGTGTAGGACAGTGGGCGACCTGCATGCAGCAGGTGCTTGGTTGTCCACCTATATGATGAGACACGTCCCTCTGCTCCTCCCCACACACACCCACCTCCAGGATGAGGAGGTTCCCTATGAGTGGTTCGTCCAGACTGACCCTGTTCACCACCTCCCAGTACTGGGGACAGCCAGCCCGGGGGAGGGGGGCAGTGCTACATGTGCCATCATACATCTTCAGTCTCCCCTCCCCTGCAGGTCTTGTGTACGACGTCCAGTTGACCAGGTCTCCTTCTGTGTTGATATGGACCCAGTCGAGATTGACTCTGTCTTTGTCATACTTCAGATGTATACCTACAACATATGAATGTAGTTTACATGTACATTAACAAACAGTGATGATTAAGGTGTATCGTGATATTTAGATGATTTCGTGATTTATAAATAAATACAATCTACTCAACTACAAATAATGTAACATAAAAACAATCACATCACAGAAGTGAAGAAGGCCTTTTGATATATAACATATCAACATATCAACATTAGAAAATGATACTACACCATCAGATATATTTGCGGATGCTATTTGGATTTACTTAGGCTTAAATGTTGCGTGATAATCACGCTGAAGGCGATGACAGGGAGTTACTGCTCCCACGCGTCATCTTATAACAGAAACACGGTATAACGAGCAACATGTACATTGCTTGGCAAACAAATACTGCCGACATTGATTTTTGTGGAACTAAGAGGAAAGGCGCTTATCTTGGTTCAAGGAGAAAGGTTTGAGAGGATCTGTTACACAGCGACAAGTGGGAATGAAAACAATGGAAATATAACAAACTGTACAGTACCCGTTATCGCAATCGTCTTCACCGTATCTGTCACGTGATCACGCGCACGTCATTAGGTATTCCAAAACATTGATTTATCTTTCTGATTCATAATGAATAAAAATATAATGACAAATTTATAACTAAGAAAACCTCTGAGAGACGAGGTACACATGCATGGGGACATCTTCTGGATGTGCTGGCCACAAGAACTAGGATACATCCAGGTTGAATGATAATAGTGTTTCACGCGGGATGGGGATGATTGAGTAACTGCATACTGATGATTTGCTGTAACTCATAGTTAAGATTAGCTTAATCACAGAAGCCTGAAAATAATTGAGAGTGAGCAAGGCACAGCATGACATGTGGCTTGTACGATTGTTTTCAATTGAATGCAACTATTAAATAAACAGAATACGTTTAGATGAGATGTAACACAAACGTCCGTGTATAATGACACCAACACATGCCATGTTAATATCACATATCACTTTAACCCATGGTGCTCATATTCCAAGGGTAAACTATGCAGCACTGGATTTTACGTGTATTCTGCGCGATGCACATCACCTTGGGGGCTTTGGGGGGAGAATACATACCCTTCACAAACATGTTTGTTTTGTAACAAACGACAAAATAGATTGAGTGAGTGAGTTTTATGCCGCCTTAAGCAATATTCCAGCATTATGTCGGCGGGGAACACCAGAATGCGCTTCACGTATTGTACCCATGCGGGGAATCGAAGCTGGGACTTTGGCGCGCGACTAGAAAGTGTTGGGTCCAATGATTGACCTGGCTGATTGTGTGTCATCGTACACCGACAACGTTGATCGTTGCTGAGACCATTAAATACCGATGTATCCTGCCCAGACTCGATTACCTTACTTACTTACTTACTTACTTTGGAGATTTAACGTGCGCTTTCCGACTGATGCGTATTTCGCACATGGGCCCGTCCAGGCCATTTAATGTGTTTCCGAAAGGGGCGAAGGTGGTCTGTCCAACCCAAGAGGGGGGTTTAGGGGTTGCTTATATATAATTTGGGAATTTTGAGATTTGGAATAGATGCCGATGGGGTTGGGGAGGAGAACTAAGGGAGCTGGGTATGGTGGATGTTTGTTTGTTTATGTGATTTTGATTTGGTAGGTTATTACGTTTTTAGATGCGTTCTATTAGTTCCGTTTTGATTAAGAATACGCCTAAGGCCTTGAAGTTTTCTAGTTTATTTTGTGGGTTTAGTATTGCTTCTAGAGTGAGAGCCTTGTTTAGATTGAGGGTGGTTTGTAATGCGGTTCGATGTGTGAGGTAGTGTGTGCAGTGGATGAGTGCGTGTTCTGGGTTTTCTAGTTGTTTGCAGTGTGGGCAGTTACCTGTAGTGTGATTTTTATTTTTTTAGGTGGTTATTTAGGTTGGTGTGTCCTGTTTGGAGTTTAGTGATTACTCTGTCGTTTTTTTTTGATGGATGGAGAATGTTTGGTTTGGTTAGTGGTTTGCTGAGCACTTTTTTGATTTGGCAATTTAAGTTTAGATATAGGTTATGCCATTTTTTTGGTGATTTTTTGCTTGTTTACACTTTTAATTTCTGATTTTGAGATGGGTAAGTTTAAGCTTATTTCTGGGATTTTGAGGGATAGTTTAGCTGCTTTATCGGCGTTTTCATTACCGTATATTCCTACGTGGGCGGGTATCCACAAGAAGGTTATTTGTTTGCCTGCCTTAGTTAGGTCGTTGGAACTTTTAAGTATTTGATTTATTAATTTAGGTCGGTTTTGGGTATTTTTGTTTTGGAGGGCTTGCAGTCCACTTAGGGAGTCGGTAAGTATTAGGATTTTTTGTTTTGTTTTTGGATTCTTGATTATGGAGGGCTGAGGCCATGCCCATTAGTTCTGCCGTGAATATTGATTGGTTATTTGGGAGTCGGAAGGATTGTGTGGTTTTAGTTGGTTGTGTGGTATGGACTCCGAAACCCGTGTGTTTGGAGGTCGGATCTGAGGATCCGTCCGTGTAAATGTGACACCAATTTGGCAAATTTTCGTGTATGTATGCTAGTGTGGTAGTTTTAGCTATGTTTAGGTCGGTTTGTTTATTTATTTGGCTAGCTAGTGTTGTGTCTATTTTGGGTATTTTAAGTTTAGGGGTGAAGATATTTGATTGTTTGCAGTTTTGTTTAAGATTTTTAATTTGGTGTTCATTTAGGTAGTTTGTTATTCTTTGGGATATTGGGGTAAGTAAGTGTTTACGAGCTAGAGCTTGGTTTTTAGGGCTGATGTTTTGGTTTATTAAGTTTTGGATGAGAGGGTTTGATTTGGACGCGGCCCAGAAATTTAAGCTTAGCTGTTCCCTGCGTAGACTGCGGCATTTCTCCTGTTAAGGCCTGAAGTGAGGTGTAGGAGGTGCCATGTTGGGTGCGTGTAATTAGTTTGAGAGCCTGATATTGTATTGAGTCAAGTTTTTTAGATAGGGAGTTGTTTAGGGTGTTGTATATGGCGCAGCCGTAGTCTAGTTTTGATCTAATTAGTGATATGTAGAGAGAGAGGAGAGTATCTTTGGAGGCTCCCCAGTTAGAGCCAGTTAGGCATCTTAGGGTGTTTAGGTCTTTACTGCATTTAGTTGTTAGGTTTTGGATGTGAGCATCCAAGGTGAGATGTTCATCGAAAATAAGTCCTAAGAATTTGGTTTGTTTTTGAAATTTGATTGTTTGATTGTTTAGTTGGAGGATTGGGGAGGCGGGTTTCATGTTTTTATGTTTGAATACTATTCCTGTTGTTTTTTCTGAGTTAAGGGAGAAGCCCCATTTGTCAGCCCATTGTTGTATTTTATTAAGAGATTTTTGGAGTAAATTTTCATGCTTTTAGTGCGGATCCAGATGGCTCCATCATCCGCGAATTTTGATGTGTTTACTTTAGGGGATAGGCCCTCGTATAGATCGTTTATCATTATATTGAAGAGGGTGGGGCTGAGGATACTGCCCTGTGGAGTGCCATTTTCTCGGGGACATTGGTCCGATAGAGTTTGGTCTATACCCACGGTTTTGTTTATTTAAAGCAGTAATCGTTTATTGGTAAGCAAGTATATATTTGCAGCCGTTGTAATATGCAGCTACTCGCCGAATAACAAAACCCGGCTGTGTACTCGTGAGTACACCATGCCGGATCAACGAGACTGACCAATAAGTGATTTCAGCAATTCGTTGCAAATTAGGTGTGTCGGAGTCGGAGTCGGAGTGCGAGACTTTCGGATTAACGGGTCTTAAAAACACTGATTTAATCGGTTCCCATCATAAGTGTCTAATAAAGCCGATTGTCGGATTAACGGGTGTCGGATTAACGAATCTTTGACTGTGTATTTGCTACAGTTTCGATAGTAAACAAAATCCGCTAAGTTAATCAGTCAATGACACTGCATACGAACCTGATAAACGCACATGTAACTATGCAAATTTGATAAGACTGAGTCATAAAATAGAACTTGTGTAGTTAGAGGATGTAATTTCCATGTTGCTTCGTTTTATGTTGTCCAAGTGAAACTGAATTAATATGTAATTAGTCCTAGAACTGACATCCCGTAAACATTTTCTTGTATTTATGTGTTTGTGAGCTCATTAACAATCTATAATAATACGTTGTCAACCAATACACTTTATCAATATAATTTCCATGTCGCAGGTTCTTTGTTTTTGATCTACTGACCGTCACCTTTCCATTTCCTGTAATTCTTTACATGTCCTCTGACACAGGTCTATTTATATACAGGCATGTAAAGTGTTCAGAGGGTCTTTTAACAGCAATGTTTCAGAAGTTTCATTCTTGGAAATTTCAGCCTCACCTGATAACAATAACTTTGACGTTTTGAGGGAACAACGGGGACACAGGTGGCCCTGTCGTCTGAGGAGAAGGGATTAGCTTTGCAGAGTTGCGTCCCTTGATCACGCCAGAAACCTATGATTGTGGGTTCGGATCTCGGTTCGCCCAGATTATGTTTCTAGGTTTGTCAGCACCATACCCGTGCTTTTTTTAAATTTTTCACAAATTATCCTTAACAACGGAAATCCTCATATTGGCAAGTCAGTCGGCACGGTACAGCTCGTTTATCATGACACGAGTCGAACGCAGCGGCGTTCCCTCAGCAAACTCATTTACAAGAACCATAAATTAACTTATGGTAGATAACGCATGATTAACGATCTTCCAAACTATAATTAAAATGAACTTTTGTTCGGCAATACTGAGATTACCATCTTTCCATTCCCTTCTTCTGTCGTGAATACCTATTCGCTTGGCAGCAGACATGTGTTTAACCACGTTCTAAACAGTTCTTAATATCATCTCTCAGTAGGCCAGGCTGACACCAGCTGCTTACCACAAACTGCGCGCTGTAAACGTTATCGGCATTGGCCAGATACCATCGTGTCAAACCCACAACATCAGAGAAAATATTAATGTTATACATTAGAGCTGTCACAAGAACACTAGCTTGAATAAGCCTTGGACCTCACACCTCTTTCCTCTCTTGTTT